CGGGCGAGCAGCCCTCGCCAGTGGAGCCCCGTGAGATCCGGCCGCGAAGTGACTTCTTGCCCCGCTGCCCCGCGGCGGCTCCTCCCGGGTCAGAGGACGCGGGGTGAAGGCATTTGGGCGGACCCAGGCAGTATTCTAATTAGCCGCGCCCAAGTGTCCCGACCAGCTTTTGGCCACCGCCAGCCGGGCCACTATCGGGACATAGGTGGCCACTCGCTTTGTTAGGTTGTGCCCTGCCGGGTGCCTCGTTCTTCAAGAGAACCCCAAGTGTGGTGTGTGTCCCTGTCCCCCGCGCCCCTCCCCACTCCCGCCTTCAGCAACTTAGTTCCTTCGGGGCTAAGTCCTGTTAAACTTGTTTGCCCTGAAGCCCGGAAGGTGCAAGCTGCAAACTGCAAGCTGCAAACTGCAAGCTGCAAGCTACTCTCCTCCAGGTGTCCGACTCTGCCCTCCTCCCCCAATTTAGTTTAGTTTTTTTTTTGTTTTTTTTTTTTCTCTTAACTTTATCACCTTCCTCTATTGCACACCTCGGGCTTAGGTTAATGTCCTACAGGGCCTCTCGAATTGAGGAGAAGGGGAAAATATTAATGACTACCTCAGCAATGAACGGCATGTCCCACTTTAAAAAAAAAAAGAAACGTAAAAAATAAATTAATTTTTAAAAAAAGAATAAGAAGCCGGGCGTTGGTGGCGCACGCCTCTCGGGAGGCATAGGCAGGCGGATCTCTGTGAGTTCGAGGCCAGCCTGGTCTCCAGAGCGAGTGCCAGGATAGGCTCCAAAGCCACAGTGAAAACCTGTCTCAAAAAAAAAAAAAAAAAAAAAAAATCCACTCTGCTATGGGCTGGAGAGATGGCTCAGAGGTTAAGAGCACTGACTGCTCTTCCAGAGGTTCTGAGTTCAATTCCCAGCAACCACATTGTGGCTCACAAACCATCCGTTATGAGATCTGGTGCCCTCTTCTGGTGTTCAGATATACATGGAAGCAGAATGTTGTATACATAATAAATAAATAAAATGTTTTAAAAAAAGAAAGAAAGAAAGAAACAGGCTGACAAGGACCTTAACTAAATTCAGCCTTAGAAGTTTTTGCAAGCCTACACGTTGCCTTCTTTACAATTCTCCGAGCTCTGATTTAGCTCCCTGGGGTCTAAATCAAGTCTCAAAATCACTTTTAAACTATTTAAACTATTTGCATGAACTACATGTTATTGCAAGGGTTTTTGTTTTGTTTTATGCTCTTTTTTTTTTTTTTTTTTTTTTTTTTTTTTTTTTTTTTTTTTAGACAGGCTTTCTCTGTGTATCCCTGGCTATTCTGAACTCGCTCTGTAGGCCAGGTTGGCTTCTAGCTCACAGAGATCCTGTCTCTGTCTCCTGAGTGCTGGGATTAAAGGCCGGCAACGCCACTGGCTGGCAAGACTTCTAGTTCCTCACTGTGTGTCTGTGTGGGTGTGTGTTCACCCATGCCCTTGCTGCCTCCTCCTGCTTGTGTGTGTGTGTGTGTGTGTGTGTGTGTGTGTGTGTGTGTGGAGGGGCGCTGGGGAATGGAACCTAAAGTCTAGTTAGCAGTGCTAGACAACCATCTGGACAGTGAGCAACACCCCATTCTACCAGCCCACACCTGTTTTCTTTCATCACTTGTACTTCAGTCCTGCCCATCTAGTACCCTTTACTGAAAGATGATAAGGAGATGAGAAATGGGATGGTACCTCTAAAACTTAGTGGGGTACATGACTCTTGACTGAACTATTTCAAAAGTGATTTCTACAACCTTTAATGGACCTTCTCAATGAGGGGAAATCCTCATCGACCTGTTTACTTTCTAATCCTGGACACTCCCCATCACTGTACCCCTCAGACATCCTGCCCCCATCTCTGAAGGTTGGCAGGAAGCGAAACTCAATTGTCTGTTCACTCGACCAGCCTTGTACCCAACCTGGGCCCCGGATATGTACCCCCACCCAGAGGAGGAAGAAGAGGCTGGGAAAACAGGCTTGTTTTTTCCTTTCCCTTTGTTCTTTGTGGTTTCTTTCTTTCTGACTTTTATGATGTGGTTGATTAAAGAGCTGAGCACCTGGAACTATAGGATTAGACACCTCCTCCTGAGATGTGCCTGTGCTTTTCTTTCTTTTTTTTTGGGGGGGAGGGTTGGTGGTGGTTCGAGACAGGGTTTCTCTCCCTAACAGTAAACCCACTTTGTAGACCAAGCTGGCCTCCAACTCACTGAGATTCGCCTGCCTGCTTCTGCCTCCCAAGTGCTGGGATTAAAGGCGTGAGTCGCCACCACCAGGCATTTCTTTGCTTTTTTTTCTCCACCCCCACCAACAACTGACTTAGGGTATGATGAAGCACAGATCCTAAAGGTACAAAGATGGATAGAGTAAGAATGATTTCCTCGTATTCTTTATTAGAGAAATTGTATTTTAATTGAATTTTTTTTTAATGTAGGAGTTTCTTTAATTTTATGTAAGGTCTGATTGGAAGAGTAGTTTGGGACTAAGTATCATAGAAACAGTCTTTGTTTAGAGTGATCGAGAGCTGGGGAGTTTTATATACATCTAGCCACTTGGTTTCCATCTACATTTTTGCTTATCCTACAGAACTAAGAATGAAATGTTTGTTGAAGCCAAGAGGGGTGGCATGTACCAGTAATCCCAGCACTTGAGTGTCTGAGTCAAGATGGCAAATTCAAGGCCAGCCTAGGGTACACACATACTGAAATCTTGTCTCAGAAAAAATAAATAAAAGTTTGTTGACTGTGAATAAGGAGGATATATAGGAAGGAAAGATAAAGCTTTGCTAACAATGAAGAATTGGGGCAGTGGTGGCACACTTGGGAGGCAGAGGCAGGCGGATCTCTGTTGAGTTCGAGGCCAGCCTGGTCTACATAGTGAGTTCCAGGACAGCCAGGGCTACACAGTGAAACCCTGTCTTAGAAAAACAAACAAAACAAAACAATGAAGGATATAACTCTTAAAAATGAAGGACGTGGGATTGGGGTATAAGTCAATGGCAGAGCACCTGGGAAGCAATGTTCCAGGCACTGAAATTCATCTGCAGCGTGATGGTGATGGCAGAGAAGGACAAGGAAGAGAAAAAGAGCAAGAAGCAAGGAAGAATCGAGACGCAAACAAAACAAGACAAAAAAAAAAAAAGACATGGAACAGAGACATATCATTCTCCAACTCTTGATCTGGACCCACAATTAAAATTAATAATAATACCAAACCCCATTACTCTAGACTCTAGAGAAAAGTTGCTTCAAGGAGCTTCTCTCCAAATATTTGAGAACTGCTTAGTTCTCCGTTTCCACTAGAGGGCCACATGTTTTGTTTTGTTTTTCCTCTGACCCTCACTGGGCCCAAATATTTATACATATGAGGTGTGGATGTGTATACACAACAGCAGATACACACATTTCCAACCAGCAGTCTCTCTGCCCACTCCAGATATAAAAGGAGGCAATTCCAAGAACCCCAGGCTTTGTTACTCTCCAATTTCAGAGAAGGGGAGGAGGGAGTTAGTCAGGATTTGGAGGCGGGACCTGGGACCCCCAGTAGCTACCAGTAAATCCTTAGGCCTTGGTCTCTTCTCTGTTACTCTCCCAGCATCACACCATCCATGCTACCCTAAGAGTCCTAGCAACTCCAGAGTACAGGTAGGAGGAACAGAAAGGCTTCGCCGCCAGCGGCTACCTTTGCCCAGAGTGTTTTGTGCCTTCTGCCAAAGCCAGAGGGTAAAGTGCCAGGGTTGGGTATGGAGAAAAGGTAAACATAGACAACCGGGGTCTATGCATCTAAACCTCCACCCTGGCCTTAAGGAGAGGATATGGATGTTGAGAGAAAGAGCTGTGCATAGACAAGTTAGGGGAGCTGAGGAACCCCCCCAGGAGAGGTGGGCAATCGTCTCAGATAGGGTCAAGCAATGTGGAAAAGGAAGATTTGTACCTAGGTCTTAAGTTGTGAAGTGTGGAACTCTGGCCTTTCCCCTCGGGGTTCTCCTGAATGTGGAGCTGGGCTGGTGAGTCCAAGATGACGATTTGGAGACTGGAGGGTGGACTAATTGCTGACCAGTTGCTGGGTGGTTCGGATCGGCATCCTGACCCCTACCTTGGCCTCCCGGGGGAGGGGATAATGGGAGAGACTGAGAGTAATTAGAAAGAGAAAAAATAGAAATAGAGCTGCCCCAGGCGTGTGGGAGTAGAGAAAGTGGCACAGACCAGAGAGAGCCCTGTGTTCTGGAGCCCGGGAGAAGGTAGTGTTGGAAAGCTGGCCACAGCGGTGGTCTAGGCAGCGGCGGGAGGGCAGGCTGGGTGAGGGGCGGGCAGTATGTCGTCAGGAGCTGGGCGGCCGCGTCTGCCTAGCCCGTCCCCTCCAGCCCAGCTCGGGCTCCTGCGCCCCAACTCCGACCGTGCGGCGCGCCTCGCGGGGCCAAGGTAGAGTCCCCGGGCGAGCCCCGCCCCGCTCGCACACTCTCGCACCAGGGCAGAAGGGCCGCGGAAGAGGCCGCTCCACCGGCTGGGGGGGGGCTGCCGCGTCCGGAGGAGGAAGCGTTGACAGCTGGAGCCGGCTGCTGGAAGCCTTTGCGCTGGGACACGGGAGCTGCCTTAGGCTGCGCAAGACCCGGGTAAGCTGAGTTTCCCCGGGACCTGACCCCCTATCCTGTTCGATCACCCGGAGAGCTGGGGAAGCTCAGCTCCTGGGGAC